ATGCCAAAGTTGAGAAGAAGAAAAAGGAACAAGGGCTGAAACGAAATTGCACCCAGCTGTCTTCGCAGTATCAAGATAGTAGAAACCTTCCCTCTCAGTTCCCATCCCAATCATCTTCCCCGAACGTCGGTCCTGAACAATACATTCATTAGTGAACATTGCATGACAAGATGAGCTTTTGGTGAGCTTGCTCACAGAGATTAAATTTAATCTAAATGAGGGAACACAAAGCACATTATGAAGAATAAAATCATCCGAGAAACGGATAGTGCCGATGTGGGTGACATTGACAAGGGCATGATCAGGAAGGTACACTTGACGATTGGAGTGCATGTAGTCAACAACTTAGGCGAACAAACCATGTGATCGGTGGCACCAGTATCAAAAATTCAGTCAAGTCCACTAACGAAAACAGAGACACATAAGGTGTTACCTGAGAGATTGCTGGTGCTGGAAGCAGTGCTAACATGATTAGCCAAAATTGTGGGTTTGTTTTGATTGAGGAGAGCAAAGAAGCTTTGGTATTTTGCTGCGGTAAGGTTGTATGATGGGGGAGCTGTAGTGGCCATAGGAGTGGCATCAACATGATGGACTGAATGAGAAAATGACCCCCGATGACCTTGAGAGTTACTGTTACTGCCAGTGGATTGAGCCTTCTTCAATTTGCGGCATTGGTCAATGGTGTGCCGACGCCAACCACAATAATCACATTTAAGATGTTCTCGACATGTATCAGAGGTGTGTCATGTGGCATCACAACGTTCACACTTAAGATGAGGGTTTTTAGGTGAGAAATTTCTACTAGAATTTTGAGGACCATGAACGGCGAAGGCTGCGACGTCAGTGGCTGATGTTTTCCCGAGGGCATGAGTAGAAACTGCTAGTTGCTTTTCATCCTGCGTAATAAGGGAAAAAGCTTTGTTGACTGCAGGAAATGGGTCCATCAGTAGGATTTGTCCTCGAACTCCAGTGTATACGTCATTTAATCCCATAAGGAATTTCATGGTCTTTTGGTGCTGGTGGAATTGGAACATCTCTTTGGCTGCTCCACAGTTGCAAGATGGAAGAGAGAAAAGTGCATCTCTCGCATCCCATAAGCCCTTCAACTTGGTGTAATAGGCACCGATGGTCATGCTTCCTTGAACGCAGTCATGAATTTCTTGCTCAATATGAAAAAGGTGGACACTATTAGCGTGAGAGAATCGTTCCTTCAGATCATTCCATATGTTGGACGCAACATCGTTATAAATGATGCTAGCACCAATATTCGGGGATATGGAATTGAGGAGCCAGCTCTTGACGAGATTGTTACAACGTGTCCACTGTTGGAGAGTTGTGGAAGAACCATGTATAGGCTTCTTGAGGGTGCCATCGACGAAACCTTCTTTGTTTTTGGTGTTGAGCGCCATGAGCATGGAGCGACTCCAGGTTGGATAATTTTCGTCATTCAGGAGTTGTGTGACAAGAACAACCCCTAGTTGATCAGAGTGATGAAGGTAGAGAAGATCATTAGGATCATCATATTTGGGTTGCTCAGGCTTGGCTGAGGCTTGAGGTGATTCGCTGTCGTTGATCGCCATGGAGGTTAGCGAGAGGACAGGCTAGGGTTTGGGTTTGTGTAGGTAACCTTAGGCTGCTGATACCATGAAAGAATTGATAATTCGTATGTATTGATGATAAAAATAGAATGAGGTACAGAACCTTTATACAAATACAATAGCCAATTAGGGTGCTGAAAACTAGCCTAAATGAATCATTCCTTAATATACACGTCTACATAAAAGGAAGGAAATAAACTAAATATCTGTACAGATCAATGATCAATATTCAGAATCAATCACGTTGATTTAGTTGGGATTTTACGCTCCTCAACAAGCCCTTCAAATCCGTCTTTAGCTTCAATGTCTCAACTGAGAGAGCTTTTGGTCAATTTTCAATTGGAGAAGAGCTCAAATGTATACATTGTATTGTAGTTATTTTTTATTTAAATTTTTTATCAAGTGAAATTGTCATAATGTAGACGCAAAAGGGTCAATACATCATCAAGAAAATATCCAACCATAGCCACAAAGGTTAAGACAGATTTGCTGCATAAAACCAACAGACTCGGTTAAACCAAACATCATCAACAGAAAGAAAGCCAACATGCTCAGCTAAGACACAGTTGCTGTATAAAGCCAGCAGACTTGTTAAACCAAGCACCATCAACACATTTGCTGCATGAAGCCTAAAATCAGTGAGATTACAATAGAAAATGACCAAGCTGTACTCACCAAAACTATAAGGCCCGTTCGGTAATGTTTTTAGAGCTTGTTTTCTGTTTTTGTTTCCTGTTTTTCACAAAAACACGTTCGGTGCATCGTTTTCGTTTTCCCTCACAAAACGTTTTCTGAAAACAAATCTAACTTTGTGAACAAAAGTTGAAAATGAAAAAAAGTTGTTTTCAGTGATTTCATTTTCAGTGTTTTCCGAAGACACAAGAATGCATCCCATCAACAACTCTAGCTCTCTCTCTTGACAACCAATAAACCCACCAACAGGAACAACACCCATCTTCTCCAACCCAAAATAAACAAATCTGCAAATTAAGAAAAAAAAATACAGAGGAAGAAGAAGAAAAAAAAACAGAGACAAGAAGAAGAACCACCACATACCCAACTCAACCACCATCATCACCCAATCAAACCATCACAGCCATGGAAGGAAGGAGGAGTGGGTGTGGCCTGGGAAGGAAAGGAAGAAGAAAAGAGGAAGAAAAGGAGAAAAAAGAAACGGCCTGGGGAAGGAAAGGAAGAAGAAAAGGGGAAGAAAGTAGGAAAGAGGAAGAAAAAGAGAAAAAAGAAGCAGCCATGTGAAGGAAAAGAAGAAGAAAAAAGGAGGAAAGAGAGAAAAGGAGAAAAAGAAGAAAAAGAAAAAAAGGAAAAAAAGGAGATAAGGTAGTTTTTGAGCTTAATTTTTTTTTCATTGTTTACAATAATTTTAGCCTCTAAAAATATCAGAATTAAAAAAAATTAGAACTAAAATTAGCAAAAATACACCTGAAAAACAATTGTACTACCAGACACGTTTTCATTGTTTTTGTTTTCTAAAGATGTTTTCTAATTAATCTACCAGACGCATTTTCATTTCCTGAAAATGCAAATTTGTTTTCTTGTTTTCATTCTCTGAAAATATTCTCAGAAAACATTCTCCGAAAACGTTACCAGACGGGCCCCAAATCAAACTAATAAAGAATTGTCTAGTACATAACTATGAGTGAAGTAAACGATGTAATACTAAAAAATGATCTAGGCATCAAAGCTTATCAAGTAAACGAGTCCATAGTCAATAAAATGTCAGAGTTTGCGACATCCGAGACTAGATCAAACATTACTATAAAATTTTAATCGTCTCCCCAACATTAGGCCAAATGCATTAGTTAGAGCAATCTACCAAATACTAAAAAATGTCAAGTTCTGCTGCCGGCCAAGGCTAGCTCTTGAAAATGAAGAGGGAGAAAACCTGATGCTTCTTTTAGCTTTAAAGTAGGAGGTAAACTTTCCCACATTTTACTCAGAATTTGTTCAGTTTTTTCTCTCTTTGTTTTTGGTATGATTGTTGTTTAGTATTATTCACTCAGACTTTTGTTCAGTTTGTTAATAACTTGGGCATATCCTGCTGGATGTGAATGGTGTTCTACATCATTTGCTGTCAAAGAACCATAAAGATGCAAAAGCCATTGGCCAACACATGTCCCTATTCCTTCTCTCTCCTCTCTCCCTCTCTTTCAAAATAAAATGGCTTCTTCTACTTGATGGGTTTCTCTTGTTAGGAGATTACATAAACCTTGAATTAATATTGATAATTTCACAGTCCAAATATTGGTACTGTTCTTGGTTAGTTAACCAAAATTCAAAATTCACAGTTCCAAATACATGGAGAGACAACTGAAGCTAAAGAGGAAGTGGAACATAACTGATTAATCTAGTTAAACAAAGTTAGACTTGTAACTATTTATTCCTCATTAAAAAACACACATTGCAGAGAAAACAGATCATTTCTCTTCAAAATCCCCAGTTAGAGAACAGAGCCATTTCTTCTTTACAAATCCAACCATTTCCTCCTTGGCTGAATCTGAAAATATCAGTTTCAATGATCATATTCCTATTCTATTTCTATGTAAACCAGGTAGGCTGGAAACCATGTGTATATGCGTATTAATTTATTCTTTCTTAGTTTCTTCTTTGAGCATCGATTCATTAAGAGACACTGGAGGGATGTGGAACACTTTTAACTAAATATGCTGTTTTAGTTGCTTATTATTTTGGGCTTACTTTTTATGTTATGTTATTTATTAAAGATTCCTCATTTAGAACATGCATTAAGATAAAGGTTTTGAAATCTTATGCATCTGGATAACGAAATTGTTGCAGTTCACCCCCTGGCCTACTGATTGGTTTACATTGATACTTATTAAAACATATGCTTGAACTATTGATCCCTTGATTCTATCGAATTGATCATCTCTCTGTTACATATCAATGAGCCGAAACGCATATGACAGTATCTCATTTTAGTTATTCCCTCCTTTGCAGGTGCCTGTAGTTACTTCCCATTTCTCCAGTATACACACATATATGTCACTATGAGCAACTCTAAGCTGCGGGTAGATGTCGTCAGCGCCTATGATCTTTTGCCTACAGATGGGCAAGGCTCATCCAATGCCTTTGTGGAGCTTAACTTTGATGGTCAAAGGCTCCTTACCACCACTATAGAAAAGAATCTTAATCCAGATTGGAATGAAAGCTTCTGCTTCAACATTTTTGATCCTTCGAATTATCACAACCTTACTCTCGATGCATGTGTCTACAGTAGTGCCACAGCTACCTCCTCAAGATCGTTTATTGGAAAGATTAGTCTTACTGGGAATTTATTTTGCTCTTATTCTGATGCTGCTGTTACGCATTACCCTTTGAATAAAAAGCGTCGCCTCTCATGGTCTTCTGTAAGAGGAGAGCTCGGCCTAAAGGTTTATGTTACTGATGACCCATCAATTAGGCCCTCCACCCCAATTGCTGTTGTTGGAGCCCTAGGTACTATGGATCCAAGCGTAGCTCATGGATCGAATCAAGGAGTTTCAAATCCTGTGACGAACACTTCTCCAAATGCAGAAGTTGAGATACCACGTCTCCGTAATCCAAGTCATGGCCACCAACTTTTGCTGGAGTATGCTCCTGCTGATGGGACTGCCAGCGGCGCTATTGTGGAAGCTGGGACAAGGCACAACTTTCCTCAAATTCCTAATCCAAGCCAACTTCTGCTGGGGTATGCTCCTGCTGATGAGACTGCAAGCACCGCTATTGTGGAAGCTGAGAGAGGGCGCACCTTTCGTCATGCTTCTACTCCTGCTGATGAGACTGCCAGCACCGCTATTGTGACTTCCAGCACCGCTATTGTGGAAGCTGAGAGAGGGCGCCCCTTTCGTCATGCTGCTACTCCAAGTCATGAAAGCCAACATTCACATATGATGAGGGATGTTGCTGCTGATGAGAATTCAAGCATCGACGATGAGGGATTTAGGACAAGGTCCAACTCTCTTCATAGTTCTAATCCAAGTCACGGCAGCCAACATTCCCGTATGGGGGATGCTGATGATGACGAGAATGCAAGCTCCTTTAATGCGGAAACTGAGACAAGGCGCACCTCTCAACGTATTTCTAATCCAAGTAGTAACAGCAGCCAACATTCGAATATGACGGATGCTGCTGCTGATGAGACTGCAAGCACCTCTAATACAGAAGCTGAGACGGGGCATACCTCTCAACATAGTTCTAATCAAAGTCGTGATGGCCAAGATTCACATCGAGGGGATGTTGCTGCAGATGGGACTACAAGCACCTCTAATAATTCGGAAGTTGGGACAAGGCCCACCTGTCGTCATCCTCCTAATCCAAGTTATGACCGCCAACGCCAACAACATCCTCCAGTTGCTCCAAAAGTTTACGATAATGCATTTAAGTATGAAGCCCATGAATTTTCACTTACAGAGACAAGCCCTAAACTTGGAGGTGGAAGAGTTGCTGGTAGCCGTGTTATTCATGGAGAGAAGACTGCAAGCGCCTATGATCTAGTTGAACAGATGTATTTTTTGTATGTAAGGGTTGTTAAGGCTCGTGATCTTCCTGCCACGGATGCTACAGGAAGGCTTGCTCCATATACTGAGGTACGAGTTGGAGACTATAAATGGTTTACCAACTACTATGAAAAGGAACAAAATCCAGTATGGAATGAGGTTTTTGCCTTTTCGGGGGATCGGCTAAAATCATCTGAGTTAGAAGTCATGGTTAGGGACAATGATGTTAGGGATGATCATGACTTTGTGGGGATTGTAAAATTTGACATCCATGATGTTCCATTGCGAGTCCCTCCTGAATCTGATAATCCTCTTGCTCCACAATGGTATCGGATTGAAGACAATACAGGGCATAAAGCTAGGGGTGAACTAATGCTCGCAGTCTGGTTTGGCACCCAAGCAGATGAGGCTTTCCCCGGTGCATGGCATTCTGATAATGCAAGCAGTCATGTTGATGTCAGACTACTTACCTCCACAGTGCTAGGCTCAAAGGTCTATCTTGCACCAAGGTTGTGGTATTTACGTGTTAATGTTATCGAGGCACACAACCTGTTTATTGATGACAAGAATCGTTTCCCATATGCTTATGTCCTGGTAAAAATAGGAAACCAGGTTTTGGTAACACAAAAAATTCAGGCGCAAAATCTAAACCCCCTTTGGAATGAAGATCTTTTGCTTCCTTTGAAGATGATCTTATCATTTCTGTTTACGATCATGTGTGTCCCGGAAAAGATGAAATCATTGGGGGGGTCACAATAGCGCTGCAATCTGTCGATAGGCGTGCTGATGATTGTATGATCCGTGGCCGATGGTATAAACTGGAAAAGCCAGTGGCTGTGGATCAAAATGAGTCGGAAAGAGAAAAGTTATCGTCCAGCATCCATCTCCGACTTTGTCTAGAGGGAGGATACCATGTCGCCAATGAATCACCTCATTATAACAGTGATTTACGACCCACATCAAAGAAGCTATGGAGGCCATCAATTGGGGTTTTAGAGCTCGGAATCTTGGATGCTGTAGAGCTTCATCCAATGAAAACACGTGACGGAAGGGGCACAACAGATGCATACTGCGTAGCAAAGTATGGTCATAAATGGTTCCGGACAAGAACCATTGTTGGGGAACTGTGTCCAAGATATCATGAACAATACATATGGGAGGTTTTTGATGTTGCTACGGTTCTTACTGTAGGTGTATTTGACAACAACCTACAGTTTGGGAATGACTCCAGACACGCGATGATTGGGAAGGTTCGAATTCGTATCTCATCACTGGAAGCAGGCCGTGTTTACACGCACCGATATCCACTGCTGGCTGTTCACCCGTCTGGTGTTAAGAAGATGGGGGAGTTGCATTTGGCAGTTCGATTTTCTTGCACCTCTTGTGTTAAAACGCTTTACTCCTACTCACAGCCACAGATGCCCAAGATGCACTACTTAAGGCCCATCACGGCGGAGCAGCTTGACACATTAAGGATGAATGCTATTTACCTAGTCCAAGCACAGTTTTCTCGAGCTGATCCTCCACTGAGAGGGGAAGTGGTGGAATACATGTGTGATGGGAACTGCCATTTTTGGAGCATACGACGGAGTAGAGCAAATTTTTCTAGGCTAGCGACAGCTTTGTCCGGAGTCATTTCTGCAGGCAAATGGTTTTGGGAAATTTGCATGTGGAAGAATCCCATAATGACAGTTCTTGCCCATGTTTTCTTTCTCATGCTCGTTTGCTTCCCACAACTAATTCTGCCCACGGCTTTTCTTTGCATGGTTCTATCTGGGTTATGGAACTTCCGCTTCCGGGCTAGGTATCCTCCCCACATTAACATAAAGCTCTCACAACTTGAGCTCGTGACCATTGATGAGCTGGATGAGGAATTCGACACTTATCCGACCAGCCGGAATATGGAGCTGGTGAGAATGAGATACAATCGGCTGAGGAGCAATGCTAGTAGCGTTCAGGCTCTAGTGGGTGATGTGGCTATTCTGGCGGAGCGATTTCAGTTGCTGTTAAGTTGGCGAGACCCGCGTGCCACTGTCGTCTTTGTAACATTTTGCGTTGCGGTTACCTCAGTGTTATATCTGACACCATTCAAAGCGGTGGCTGCAGGCGCAGGGTTGTTTGTCATGATGCCTCCAAGATTTCGCCATGTGTTGCCGTTAGCAGCATTCTTCAACTTCTTCAGCAGGCTGCCTACTAAGACTGATACCATATTTTGAATTAACAGTCTGCAGCCATTCCATTCATTTGCTTTGGATTTCCTAAGGAATCTTTTACATTTGTATGTCTTTGATTTGAAAGTTGAGAGGTTTTTCTGTCTTTTTTGAAAAACTTTGGTTTTTTCTAAAAGTGAAAGTTTTTTTATGGCTAAAACCTAAATTTACTTTTAATTAAAGAGTCCATGGGTAGAACTTGGCTTTAAAAACTACTTGGTATAGGAAAGGTACTAGAGCGCTCTTAAATCATTCCAATATATGCTATTTTTTCAGTGTGAGATTTGAGTCCTAAAATTCCACCACGCTTTCTACTCGACGTCCTCGTTGGCATATTTATCAACATTGGCTAGTAGCTCCATTTGAGGCAGCTCTCACTCACCTGCCAACATTCAGTGGCTGGATATTATACCCATGTATAATACCGACCATCTTAATCCAGGCCATAGATGACCCCTTCAGTGGAATTTGGCCATGTTGCGTGGAAGCTTTTAAAGACCCACCCTCCTTCCGGCCAGAATTCCGTCCCCCATCCCTACTGAAACCTCTGTCCCTCTCCCCTACCATATGGATACTACTTAAGATGAATGATTTAGATGGTCATAGAGACTTGTAGAGTAGCGAAACTTTACAGGCAATTTTTTTTTTCCCTTATGGTTGATAGAGAGATCTCGACTTGCGTTGCAGTCAATTTTCTCATCATTCTTAACCTGCTGTGTTGAGAGATGAATTCATTATACATAAAAGGGCTACTGTGCTTATTTGGGTGTATGACACTTGAAACATATAAAAACATATGCAGTATTTGTGAATTTTCAGAAAAGCTTCCTAGGCAATCCATAGCCCATGGGAGTCTCCCCTGCCTCCGCCCTATTTATCACAGTTCACATAGCGTATCAATAGAACACTTGAACAACCAAACTTTGATAAATTTGCAATATCAATCATCAGGCACAAAAGCAAATCTCTTTAAAAAATAAAAATAAAAATAAAAATAAAAATAAAAATAAAAATAAAAGAAAAAAGAATGTCATTGCAAAGCCATTATATTTTATGGAAATTTGAGGATATTCCTAATATAGCCTGATCATTCTGCGGTCGAGACCCCAATGCCAAATCCTCTATGCATCAGCATCTTTGTCACCTGAAATCACAATAAGTTGTACTAATCAGTATTACTAGGTGAGTTTATTTTTATTTTTATTTTAAAGAAGCTAGAAATGAGCTTGTAGCTCAAATAGTTAAGAGCATTTCATCTATGTACTTATAGTCTTGTGTTCAATTCTCCCCCAAATATAGCTTTATATGATGGGGGAAAAATTTGCATATCCATGGAATATGTAAATGCATGCCGATGATTCATATTTATACGTACTTAATTACATTGAAAAATTTTCATCTAGAGGAGAACATACTATGCTTGCATGATGCATATATTTATGTCTATAACATAAGCATTGAGATAATTAGATATATGATATATATTTACTGGAACATGTTTCGGTATATACATATCCAAATCCTCCCTAATTCGTTGCAGTATAGTGTATACAGAGAAATCAATTGCAGTTTTGATATTAGCTTCATGAGTTACTGATGGATGGAAATGTTGAAGCAACAGAAAGCAAAGTCAAAAAACAAAGATAAGAAAAGAAAAGAAAAACATACCATCCTACGTGAGCCTCTTATCTGAATCCTTTCACTTAGCTGCAATGATTGCTGGGGAGTGGACAACGTCATCCCAAAGTTGCCTCTTATTTTTGGCTATGTCTACAGCAAAGTCTCGTGGCATATCAGTTACCTTCAATTCAAGGAGAGTCTTCAAGTGTCCCAACCCTGTTGGGATCTTCAAATTTTTGCAGGATCTTATCTCCAACTCCCTGAGATTTTGCATTGCCTTCTCCTCTACATCCCAAACTTCTAGTTCCACCAGATTCCACAACCTTAAAACTAAAAGCTGAGGAAAGCCCTCTGCGGCGCAACGCATCCCTTTACCTCTATAAGAATTAGAGTAAAAACATAGTAATTTAAGGTTGGAGAGCTTCTCTAATTTGGGCATTGGATCATCTATAAGAGAAGAGGCTGACAAAGTAAGGTCAGTGAGGTTTTTAGGGAATTCAGCTATGATGGAAGAAGTTAGCTTCCCAAACAAATTTAGGCTGGAGAGATGGTTGAGGCCTGACAAAGGCATGCACATCAGATCACAGGGTTTGCCCTTTTCCCCAATTGATCTTATTCTTAAAGACTTAAGGTACTTCAGCTTTTTAATCCAGTTTGCTAATGCCTTTTGCTCTTCCTGCTCTAACTGGAATGCCAATCCCAATTTTCTGAGGTTGGTCACCTTGTCAAGCCCATCTTTCAACGGACTATCCTTATCCACAAATAAACCCCATAATGTCCGGAGATTCTTCAAGGAATTACCACCTTGATGATGCTCAAGTCTACTTCGACAATTCTGGTTTAAGTATAGGTTTCGAAGTTCTTGCAGTTTCCATATTGAACCAGGGAGATTTCGGACAGATGTATGCTTCACATCTAAGGTTTGGAGGTTCACCAATTCACCAATGGATGATGGGATTGATCCAAGGCAAGTCCACCTCAAGCCTAGATACCTCAACTTGCTTAATGGTCCTAACATGTTTGGCAATTCAGGTCTAAACAGACGTTCAAGATCAAGAACCTGTAGCTTTCGGAAGCAACCGCCTGCAATGCCCTTTCTAAGAAAGTTACCCGCTTCTTCTCCAGGTGTATTTCCTTCTCGAGTATCAAAGGTTAGAATTGAGAGCAGATCTCGATAATCGTTTCGAAAATTTGAGCTTTTACCAGAAGTAGGACTTGGATCATTTCTTCTAAAATTAACAATCCTCTTTTGATTCTTGTAAAACTCGAGTTTTTGTAGACTATAGGGTAAGCAGCATGTCTTGATTGTACCATTAAGCTTTCTTTCAACTACTTGAATCATGTCCCGATTAATCAACTCCGTTAGATACTCATTTGCAACATCTTCAGATTCAGGGGATTCTGTCTTCTTTTCCACTTTTACCAACCCTTCTGCAATCCACAAAGCAATTAATCTCCTTGCAGGAATTTCAATCCCCATTGGGAAGAGTTTCAAGTAAGATAGGCACCTAAACATATGAGGATCAGATTTGGGAAGGCTCCCTTGTATGGACTCTATGGTAGGGTAAGTTTCTAACATTGGCTTCTCTTTCTGCTTGATCACCCTTTCCAACTCCTCAAAATTATAAACAGCAGTCCTTGATATTAGATATCCAAGGCGTACAATGGCGAGTGGGAAACCCCCGCACTTGCCTAAAATTTCCTTTGCTTTCACTTCCTCTTTCAGATTAAAGTGCACCATCTTGTTAAGTAACTTCCAGCTCTCTTCTTTGGTTCGTAGACGAAGGTGGTGGGGAGGATTGCCAACTTCTGAAACCAAATTTGTGTCTCTTGTCGTGAGCAGAATTCTGCTTCCACTTGGTGATGCTACTGTCAGAGCTTCTTCCAACTCTTCCTTGGTCGAGATGTTTTCTAGAACTAAAAGGTACCTCACATTTTTGGGTACCGTTTGGACCCAGGATTCACTGGACTTCCAAGGTAGAGAGATCCATACACGTTGAGGAAAGTGTGTTGCAACATCTGCATGGTTATAGATTTCCTTTGCCAGTGTTGTCTTACCTATGCCTCCAATGCCTAAAATGGAAAAAAAAGGGTGATGTTCGTTGTAGGTTGTCAGTCGTGACACCAGTTCATGTACATCTTCTTCCAAACCGACCACTGAGTTTGACTCTTTCGTAAACTTAATGTTGTACGCTTTTATGGTCCTTGTAACAAGATTGACAGTATTCTCCATTTGGCCAATTTCGCGCCAAAGATTTGTCCCAGCGTTTGTTCTGAATTGAATCTGCTTTATCCTTACGTTCTTTGAACTTTTCATGAATGTTTGCACGGAGTTCTCTGCACGTTTAACAATATTACTCATTTGTTCCAACCAAGCCATTCTGGAAATATATCTTCTTTCAATCATTTCTGCATCATCTACAAGTTTATTCATATCGTCCAAATGAGTGCATAGCAATCCCAATTTACCATGTATCTCACGAGATATATCTGGCTTCGCCTCGAGGTAGCTGTGAATTGTGCCAGCTACTGGTGAAATAATGCCATCTGGGGTATTGTGATGTGGGGATTGATTGACAAACTTCGATGAATCTCTTCTTATAAATCTGAAGCCATATCTCTCCTTCCTCTCCAAAAGTTCTGTGAACCGACTGTCAATGCACCTTATGTCCTCCTTGAGCTTTCTCCATGCCTTCCAATTGTCGATAATCGACAGCCACTTAAATCGGTGCTCTGGTCTCTGCAGTAAGAAGCTCTCAATGGCAGGTTGTGTTTGATTAATGACCTCTTCCATTTCCTCCACCCAAGCCTCTTCAATTTCACTTTCGAAACGAACTTCTTCTATATCTTTCAGAAAGGGATACAGTAGCATCAACTGCAGATATATTGAATGTATTTGCTCATCTGGTTCTTGAGTCATCAGACTATTCATCTTCTTTGTAATGGAGAAAGTCAAAGCAGCTGATGTTTCAACCCGCCTTTTAGACTCTACCCATTTTTGTTGATGACTGCTTTCATAAATGGGTCTGTCTACAAGGCTTCTCATTTCAGATCTCGACCTCTCCAGCGATTCACATATGTTAATCCCACGATCCGCCTTCATCTTAATGCGCTCGTTTATTTCCTCCTTAACTTGCTTAGTTTCAGTTAAAAGCCATTCTACCTGCTTCACCTTCTCACTGATTGTACCAAAACATATTCTGTGGATCATGTGGGAGTCTCTTCTCCTCTGGTTCTCAAAGGTTGCCACTAAAGCATTTGCTCTTTTAACTACTGATCTGGTTTTGGCCACCCATTCTGCCTCAACATAATTTAGTCCTTCTATAGTTGCTCCACCAGAGTAAATGCTGGGATCCAGGATTTCTTTTGCTCTGGTATCTATCTGA